CCCAGCTGTCCTGCTCAGGTGGGAGATGTCCCATAGGTGAGTTATACCCCAGCTGTCCTGCTCAGGTGGGAGATGTCCCATATTCAGAATCATAGTCCCCCTCTCTACATGAGTTATACCCCAGATGTCCTGCTCAGGTGGGAGATGTCCCATATTAAGAATCATAGTCCCCTCCTCTCTAGGAGAGTTATACCCCAGCTGTCCTTCTCAGGTGGGAGATGTCCCATATTAAGAATCATAGTCCCCCCCTCTCTAGGAGAGTTATACCCCAGCTGTCCTGCTCAGGTGGGAGATGTCCCATATTAAGAATCATAGTCCCCCTCTCTAGGAGAGTTATACTCCAGCTGTCCTGCTCAGGTGGGCGATGTCCTATATTAAGAATCATAGTCCCTCCCCCTCTCAAGCTGAGTTATACCCCAGCTGTCCTTCTCAGGTGGGAGATGTCCCATATTAAGAATCATAGTCCCCTCCTCTCTAGGAGAGTTATACCCCAGCTGTCCTGCTCAGGTGGGAGATGTCCCATAGGTGAGTTATACCCCAGCTGTCCTTCTCAGGTGGGAGATGTCCCATATTCAGAATCATAGTCCCCCTCTCTACGTGAGTTATACCCCAGCTGTCCTGCTCAGGTGGGAGATGTCCCATATTAAGAATCATAGTCCCCTCCTCTCTAGGAGAGTTATACCCCAGCTGTCCTGCTCAGGTGGGAGATGTCCCATATTAAGAATCATAGTCCCCCAGGAGAGCTATACCCCAGCCGTCCTGCTCAGGTGGGAGATGTCCCATACAAGAATCAGTCCCTCGTGAGAGTTATACCCAGCCGTCCCAAGCCCAGGCATGGCGTCCCATACAGAATCATGCAGTCCCTCCCTCCTCGCTGCTATACCCCCAGCTGTCCTGCTCAGGTGGGCTATGTCCTATTTTAAGAATCATAAATCCTCCCCTCTAGGCAGCCATACCCCAGCTGTCCTGCTCAGGTGGGAGATGTCCCATATTCAGAATCATAGTCCCCCCTCTCTAGGAGAGTTATACCCCAGCTGTCCTGCTCAGGTGGGAGATGTCCCATAGGTGAGTTATACCCCAGCTGTCCTCCTCAGGTGGGAGATGTCCCATATCCCACCTGAGAAGGACATCTCCCTCCCATATTAAGAATCATAGTCCCCCTCTCTAGGTGAGTTATACCCCAGATGTCCTGCTCAGGTGGGAGATGTCCCATATTAAGAATCATAGTCCCCCCCTCTCTAGGAGAGTTATACCCCAGCTGTCCTTCTCAGGTGGGAGATGTCCCATATTAAGAATCATAGTCCCCCTTCTCTACTTGAGTTATACTCCAGCTGTCCTGCTCAGGTGGGCGATGTCCTATATTAAGAATCATAGTCCCTCCCCCTCTCAAGCTGAGTTATACCCCAGCTGTCCTGCTCAGGTGGGAGATGTCCCATATTAAGAATCATAGTCCCCCCTCCCTAGGTGAACAATAGCTTTTAGTTAGAATCCCAGCTGTCCTGATCAGGTGGGAGATGTCCCATATTAAGATTCCTTGTCCCCCTCCCTAGGTGAGCAATATCTTTTAGTTAGAATCCCAGCTGTCCTCCTCAGGGGAGATGTCAGCCCTCCTCCCTTTTCTTTGGGTCAGATCTGAGGGGCAGGAAGCTGCATGTTACTGATGGATTTTTCTCAATTTATGCCAAAATTGCTATTACCTTGTGCAAATAAAATGGGAACGTTGTCCTGACTGGTCCCTCAGTTGAGTGGAGATACTTCAAAATTGAAAGGGTGGAGAAGCACTGATAATTACACCATATCTTGTTCCAGAGTCAGAGTATTGTTTCCATCACATGTTACGATGGTAGGAGAGTTTGTGAGCTCTGTAGTCTGCAAAATGTTTTTTAGAAATGACTGGCGTGATGTATGGCCACGGAACAGCCATGTTTTATCTTGTTCTGTATATTATGCATCATACAGGGGCAAGGGCTGTGATTCATGATGTTTTAGTTAGATGCAGTGCAGTGTCTGTATGGGGCAGTCTTGGCACTAGGCAGGGATCATTAATTTATTAGACACATGGCAGGGTTGGGGGGCTGCATGGGGCCAAGAAGAGTGTTGGAGTGATACTAAAATCTCAGGGCAGCTCTCTGCAGAAAGCAGTCTGGATTCTGGGATTTTAGAGTTTGGCCTTCCACTTGTCTGGGTTCACAAGTATAAGGGTTACTTTGACTTAGAGATGTCAGGATTTGTGGCAACAAGTAATTTGCTTAAAACAAATACTGTGCCCTTTTTCTGAAGCAGAGTGCTTGGGGCAGCAAGTTTCTGCTGGCAACATAATGACTATGTGAAGTGAGATCAGAGCAAGGCTAGTACATCAGGAAGGAAACTTGATCTAAATGGAGTATTAGGTGAGCAGACCTGGAGCTAAATGGAGAACTAGGAGAGCAGGACATGGAGAACTAGGAGAGCAGGACATGGAGCTAAATGGAGAACCAGGAGGGCAGGACATGGAGCTAAATGGAGAACCAGGAGGGCAGGACATGGAGCTAAATGGAGAACCAGGAGGGCAGGACATGGAGCTAAATGGAGAACTAGGAGAGCAGGACATGGAGCTAAATGGAGAACTAGGAGAGCAGGACATGGAGCTAAATGGAGAACTAGGAGAGCAGGACATGGAGCTAAATGGAGAACTAGGAGAGCAGGACATGGAGCTAAATGGAGAACTAGGAGAGCAGGACATGGAGCTAAATGGAGAACCAGGAGAGCAGGACATGGAGCTAAATGGAGAACCAGGAGGGCAGGACATGGACCTAAATGGAGAACTAGGAGAGCAGGACATGGAGCTAAATGGAGAACTAGGTCAGGTGCACCAGCAGCAGTAAGGGAGTTTTTAGGAAAGCTGTGTGTTTGCAGGGAGGGAGCTGCTGGTAAGGTCAGGGCTGCAGGGAGAGAGCTGCTGGTAAGGTCAGGGCTGCAGGGAGGGAGCTGCTGGTAAGGTCAGGGCTGCAGGGAGGGAGCTGCTGGTAAGGTCAGGGCTGCAGGGAGGGAGCTGCTGGTAAGGTCAGGGCTGCAGGGAGGGAGCTGCTGGTAAGGTCAGGGCTGCAGGGTGGGAGCTGCTGGTGAGGTCAGGGCTGCAGGGAGGGAGCTGCTGGTGAGGTCAGGGCTGCAGGGAGGGAGCTGCTGGTAAGGCCAGGGCTGCAGGGAGGGAGCCGCTGGTAAGGCCAGTGTTGAAGGGAGGGAGCTGCTGGTGAGGTCGGGGCTGCAGGGAGGGAGCTGCTGGTAAGGTCGGGGCTGCAGGGAGCAGCTGGTAAGGAGCCAGGGCTGCAGGAGAGGGAGCAGCTAGTAGGTCTGGGAGCTGCAGGAAGGGGCTGCTGGTAAGGCCAGGGCTGCAGGGAGGGAGCTGTGGTGAGGCCAAGTCCCGAAGGGAGGGAGCTGCTGGTGAGGTCAGAGCTGCAGGGAACTGCTGAGCCAAGGTCAGGGCTGCAGGAAGGCTACTGGTAGGTCAGGGGGCTGCAGGGAGGGAGCTGCTGGTAGGTCAGGGCTGCAGGAGAGGGAGCTGCTGAGAATGGGTCAGGGTTGCAGGAAGGGGCTGCTGGTAAGGTCCGGGGCTGCAGGGGTGGGAGCTGCTGGTGAGGTCAGGGCTGCAGGGAGGGAGCTGCTGGTAAGGTCAGGGCTGCAGGGAGGGAGCTGCTGGTAAGGTCAGGGCTGCAGGGAGGGAGCTGCTGGTAAGGTCAGGGCTGCAGGGAGGGAGCTGCTGGTAAGGTCAGGGCTGCAGGGTGGGAGCTGCTGGTGAGGTCAGGGCTGCAGGGAGGGAGCTGCTGGTGAGGTCAGGGCTGCAGGGAGGGAGCTGCTGGTAAGGCCAGGGCTGCAGGGAGGGAGCTGTGGGCAAGGCTGGGGAGGGGGGCACATTTTAAAAACTCTAATGATGTCATCTTCAGCTGCCATTTTGTGTACAAATGCAGGAAAAGTTCACCTTTAATCTCTTGGCAATAAGCAATGCTTTGTGCAGGTGGGGGATGGTTAACATTCACGGGTAGAACTGCTTGCCGCTGAATTACTTTGTATATTTACACGGATATGTTTATAGTTTGTTGTATTTTGAATTTTTACCAAATGCTTTCTGTATAATCTCTGTGTATAAACCTATACAATGTGTATATAGTCACTTGCTGTGTCTGGTTATTGCATAATTTGATGAATAGAAGATTAACAGTTGTGTCCGATCTTTGTGTGAGGTGGAAAGTCACTGGAAATGTGGACATGCTTATAATCTACCTGCACTTAGAGACCTGGCTGTCCCCCTCTGATAGCGCTACACCTGCCTCTTAATGTTTTGGTGGGCTACAATTCTCTCACTCCTAGACTCCCCTGTAAAGGAGGCGGCGTAGACATCCTTCTCTCCCCTCAATGTACCTTTCAACCAATTATAACTCCCCCTGCCCTATCCTTTACTTCTTTTGA